CGTTAACACAGACGTTCGTAACCCAAGGTACCACTGTATTTATTAATGTAACACTCTAACATGTTCATAATAGATTTCAAGGCTATAGAATTTTACTGGATCAAATGAAAGGTTACATTTATGTATATCTAAAGCCAAGGGCAGTCAAAGTGCTGGATATTATTGGCCATATAATACAAATTACAAATAAGCCTGCAAGTTTGAGTACCCTTATCTCTCTAGTACAAATTCTTCCTACGCCTTCTGTGCCAACTTTAATGCTATCTAAGATTTCCTCTTAGAAGCTGGTTGACAAACTCAGATTAGCATTAGCTGCTATTAATTTGGGGAGCAGTGTAATTCTTATATATAATGCAGAAATATAGGGTATGAGAAGAGAGAAGCGAGCAGATGTTTATGTGAGCCATTTTTAAAAATTATCTCTCCTTGGGGTCACTGTAGTGCAAAACAGGAACCACCTGTTGAGCTTTTTAATTCCTTTTTCTTCCATTTGCATTATAACACTTGCTCAGTATTTTATATTCTTCATATCACTGCTTTAATGGGTTAGCCATTTGTACAACTCCTGCCATTAATTGTACTTCTAATTCAGGATCTTAGTAGTCCAAACTGCCACCCTCAGCTATTTGCATATCGCACTAGTAGATAATCACAAGGTGCCTTGGAAATGCAAAAGGGTATTGTATAGTGGCTTCATTGACTTCATGATTTAAGAACTTTCCAGGATACAAATACCTGATGGTACAAAATCAATCAATAACATATGCTTATGTTTGTTTTTTTATGACTGATAAACTTGCAAGATATTCTTCAATCCTCAGATCTCTCAAGCCATTTTACCCACTGCTTGACTGCTTTGCATTACCTGGAGTACAGATCTGGGCTGTGTGGGCTATTCTGCACATCTGTTGCAAAACCCGTATGTATTCTTCAATAAGCCTGTAATCTTCCATTTTTTTAAAGTTGGGTGTTTGTTTAACTTTTTAAACGGAAGGTGGAACTATTGTATCAATTCATAACTAATGCCAAATATAGCACCCCTGCTGCATGAGCTGCACTGGTTGCCAATCTCCAGGTGCAATTCAAGGTGCTGGTTATCACTCATAAAGTCCTACATAGCTCAGGGCTGGTTATTTGAGGGACTGCCTGTCTCCCATTGTGTTCAGTGATCCTATGTGCTCCAACAGGCTCAGCTTGCTTAAGGTCCCATCAAATAAGCAGTGTCACCTAGGAAGTGAGTCTTCTTTGTCACTGCATCTGCCTTTTGGAACGGCATTACCTGGAGATCTAAGCCTTGGATTAGGATGTTTTTGGAGGGCCCCTTTTAGTTGAGAAGTTGATATGGAATTATAATATGTTCCCCCGCCCAGATATTTTTTTTTTAAAATAGAATATTCTTTCTTTGAACTTTGTGAAACCGCCCAGAATCATTTTGAAGTTGGGCAGCCTAGGTACAAATGAAAAAAATAAATAGAGTACTTATGAGCAATGGGGGAGGAAATGTGTGAACCGGAGGGATATTTCCAAATTACTGAAATGTATTTGCCTTATGTTGGAATCTTGATTGGAATTGCAAATCAGCATGATTTACAGTTTTACTGATACTGAAAACAAAGCCAAGTATGTTGCAGCATGCAGTGTTTTTTACCTAATCTCACAGTCTCTAACACCCATATTTTAACACTGTCCTGTTTATGATGAATGGGCTAATAGTCTTCTATTTTTCCTTAGCTGCCAGATACTGTGCAATGTTAATAGAAGAGAATGGACTACAGCACTTACATAATATCAAAGAAAATGACCAGAGTGATCCTGATGTCCAGTATCTAACAACTGAGATATTAAGTTATGTGGAGACCCATATGAAGTATTATGGAAAGCCTAAACATCTAAAGGCACTACAAGCCAAATCAAATGGATAACTGAGAGCATCTCTCTATCTCTGCCATACAGTGTTGATGGGCTGTGCTGGTGATCCCTTTCACAGTCCTTATTTATCAAAATGGCCCTTCTTGTATTGTTTGCATGTCTTCTATAACTAGCCTTAATTTATGGCTCCTTGTATTTTGACAAATGGGGCAAGGTACCAACTCTAAAGAAAACTGCTTAACAGTTTAACATGTAGGGCTCGAAGAAAGACTTTCAAGGTGCTGGTTTTTACAGAGATAGTTGGGAAGCCCAAGGCGCTGCAAATGGAGGCTTTGAAATAACTTCTTTTCTTGCTAGGGGTCTCTTTATTTTACTATCCATTCCCCATCAGTAGTAGAATTGGTATTGCTTACTGATTGCTGAGACAAAATAGGAACAGCTTAATGTTACTGATTTAAGGTAAAATTCTTTTTTAAAATTGTAAATTGTAGGGGGCAAGTTCTGGATAAGGACTTGCCCCTGGCTTGTTTCTACTAAAACAGTGAGTCTGCAGCAGGCAATGGGGTCAGTCACAAGCCACTATTATGCACTTACAGGTGGTAACTTCGTGCATGTTCCAAAGAAGAGATTCTGGCTTTAGTTGATTGTATATCAATTTTTGCCTTGATGTAACATAAACCACTGTGTTACTGCATTTTTTTCTGTATATACAAACTATTTTTCTATGAGTGAGAAAAACCTTTCAAGGAACTTTTTAAGTTTTTGTCTAAAATAAAAGGCATGTTCTGTGATGGCACTTTAAACTGACTGCATGTTTTTATCTTCAAGAAAATTGGTCATAATGCAAAATAGAGCTTTCATAAGGGTGAGATTCACTACGTGGTAACTAACCATGTTTAGGTGAGTTTTATTTTTACTGTCCTTATTAGTGGTATTAGGTATAGTGTTTACATTCTCCCAAAGTAGGTTGCTTGGATTAATTGGTGTGAGAAGAAAATAGATAATGTATCATATGGGAAGTTGCTGGCATAGTTGAAGCAATATATCCGAGGAAACTTGGGGGAATGGGAAAAGTTGTGAAGAAAAATCTTAAGCTAAACTACATCTTCCACTCTAGAATGGTGTGTACCATAACTGAGAGGTTGCATTTTCTGAATAGTCAAGTTGGCCATCTCTCACTAATGAAAAAGGGAAAGTCAGTGTAGACTAATATTTTAACTTTCCATACTGCTAATTATTTGTCAGTCAGTCAAAGTTTATCTCAGTCAAAGACCAATATAGAACAAAACAATTATTCTGGAATGGGGCCTATTTACAAATGTAAGCACAAGAAAGTATGGATTTTGTCCCCTGGTCTCAGGAAGATCTCTAGATCCTCTACCCACAATGTTCCTGCATGTTCCCACAACTCCTTGGTAAATGCTGCCACCATCCACTTTCTTCCAGAGAACGTCCCTCTCTATGCTGGTTTACTCAGAAGAAGGAAAATGGCAAATCTCATGCCTTTCTTTTCTGTAGCTTAATGAACTGCAGGAGTTGGGAATGTGTGTGCTGGATATAAAATCTTCTTAGAATGAGGGGCTGATTGGATAATCAATGCAGGGATTCATTATCAATATCAAGGATAAAGAACTATACAGGAGATGAAGCCAAAAGGAGAAAAGGAATGAAATAACAATTGACACCTACTGGGTTTTACTCACTGGCTGTTCCTCCAGCCAGAAACGGGGGGGGAGGGGGGGACAAAGTAGACAGAACAAAATAGGACAACAGATAATAAAAGCATTGCAATTCAGATCATTTGCCCCCAAATAAGTCAACATTCTAATTTGCATCTAGCTTCTGCTACTTCCTTGATTGGTATATATTTCCTGGATCACCAATCCCAGACTCTTAGGACACTGATTACCAAACCTTGAGATGGCAGGAGGAGTTTCTCCTGTGAGAAAGAAATCAGCAAAGTGGTGGTGGCTCTTCTTTTGATGTTTACCTAAGAGGGGAAATCTTCCTGTTCTTGACTGGCTCTTTAGTAGACTTATCCAGGGATAGATTGCCTTTGGCCACTATGTAGGCCAGTGTTTCTCAGCCTTGGCAATTTTGAGTTGTGTGGACTTCAACTGGCTGGGGAATTCTGGGAGTTGAAGTCCACACATCTTAAAGTTGCCAAGGTTGAGAAACACTGATATAAACAAACTAGATTTAAGTAACAGCTCAATTTTTCCTTGAACTCTTTCATACCCGAATGTCTTGGAATGGGTTTTCTCCCCATGTGCTACATCCTACACACCTGCCTTCTTGTACATTAAGCTTGGGATTCCTAATATGGTATACTTGGCTGCCTTGCTCGATGCTTGACCCAGCCCAGCCCCATTTTATTTTGTTACCAGTTGAATTCCTTCTCTCTAGTTTGGCAGCAAAAAACATGTTTGATTAGCTGGCTCTACAAATAACAATGGCCATACCAGATTTTACCAAGGCCTATTTTAGTCCAGCATTTCTCACAGGGACCAACGTGATGACTCTGTGGCATTCACATGCAGGAGGTGGAGACGTACCCCTCTCCTGCTGTTGTTCCCTGCAACTGGTATTTGGAGAAATGTCTCCTTGCTCCCCCCCCCCGCCATTGAATCTCAAACTAATAGCCATCAGTAGACCAGTTCTCCATGAATTTAGCCAATCCCCTTTTAAATCTTTCCAAGTTAGTACCAGCATAACATCTTGGTAATCTTCTTTTCAATCCCTTTCCTAATTTTTTCTAGCGCAGAATTCACATTTTTCACAACTGAACACTGAATTGACATCTTTACTTCAGTATCCATTATAACCCCAAGACCTTTTTCCTGGTTACTATATATGTGAAGTTACATATTTTTTGCCCAATGTGCATATCTTTACACTCATTTAAATTGAACATTTGCCATGTGATTGATAATTGTTTAACCAGATCTTTTTGCATGATCTCTTCAAAATCATATTGGATTTTTTGGATGAATAATTTGTATGATCTACAAATTTCACCAGGACACAGTTTAATTCCAAATCAAGTATTTGCATGCTACCTTAAGAGATCACAACCTACTCTCTGATTTCATAAGAACAATCATTAACAAAATGTCAGCAAACAAGTCTGGAGAAATTAGAACTATCCACTTTTAATAGATTGAGCAGTGTTCCCATTATAAGGAAATTAACAAGGGAACACTTACTTGTTTTCAGTTCAGTCTTTTAATTCTGAGCTTTATGTAATTCATAAACACAAAGAAAACAGTCATATAGTTTTATATTATTTTCTCATAGACAAAATAATTGAAGTACTTCTTAAAATGTAGGGGAATTACATGAAATTCTGCATTTAATGGCAATTTTTTAAAAAAATCCCTAAGGTGACAATGGCAAACCACTTCCATCAATACCAAGAAAACTGCATTGGTTTATCCATACAAATTAGCAGGAGCTGAGCTTGACTCAAAGGTAACTTTACTTTTTATACGTTATTATAAATGTTCTTTTGACAAAAATCTTTATCTTTTGTACACTGATTATAAAATCTAACAAATGCAGTTGGTTGCTCTTTGGGATGATATACGTACATTTTCTCCTCGTTTAGCAACTGCAATCTGTTCCAGTAAAATGGTTGCTAAGGAAACAATGTGACAGAGAGAGAGGCGCTGCAAAGATCACTGGTTGCTGCTGTCTCATTTAGCTAAAGTTTTCTCGTGCATCAATGCCAGTGTTACTCTCATTCCAGCATGCGCTATTGTCAGGCACAGAAATTTGGTCATAAGTGTGCGCATTGGTTGGAAAATTATTTTTTTTATTGCCATTTACTATTGTCATATTTGTGAATGGTCACTAACTGAGGTAGTTGCTAAACGAGGACTGGCTGTATACATGACGTTCAGATTTGGAAGATGGTACAACTGTAAATCTCCTTCCTTTCTGAGGCCATACATTTGTTCTTAAACCTTTTGTGGAATGCCTGGTGAGGATATCTATGATCCCAAATGGATTGAAAATGAAAGCCTCAGTTTTTAAGAAACCGTAACAGAGAATGCTGACTATTACCAATGTGTGTCATCAACAATTGTGAATTCATAATTGTGCATTATCTGAAAAAGGAACTTGTATTCATTTATCAGTAGATGCACCTGACAGCCTGTATAGGCAGTGCAAGAGGATTCCCCTGACCAAAGGCTGCAGTGATGAAACCACATTTCACTGAGAGAACAAAATTATTTGTAATGTAAAAATAAGGATGTATGAAACAGTTTTTACATTACTGATTCCGAGGGGAAAGTTTCAGCCTAGTTTTAACAATTGAGGTTTCAGTGCTAGCATCCACAGTCATCCCAAGAACACCCCTTTACATTGTTATTGTTTAATTCTTATATCCAAAACAGATTCTAAACAAAAAAATTATTGTCTAACTATGAAGCTTATAAGGAAAAGCTTTCTAATAAGGCACAGCCTTTTGATCACCTCCTTGTAGTGTATTCCAGCACCTGCAGAAACGGTGTTAGTATCACTTGCCACTGAACTTGGGAGGTCGCTTCTCAATAAACGCAGCCATCCCCTCCTGACGGTCTCTGGTAGGGAGATTCTGCATTTAAAATACAAGTCAACCATTTAATATTTCATCTCCTAACCTTCTCAAAAGTTGTTGACCCTTTCATTTGATAGACTAAAGCTTCCATCCCCTCAAACTGCCCAACTTTGTAGGCTCGGGATGATTGGGGCTGCAGCCCAAGACTTCTAGAGCATAGTCCTAGTTCCCAATTCCCATTGTCTCTTTTTCCAATCAAAACTCCTAATAGATGGGCTCTATATCTCAGAAATAAACTAATACTCACTGGGTTTTTTCATTGTTTTTATTTGATCTAAGCTGTTCAGAGTAATTTTGGAGTTGGGTGGCCTCCAAATATCATAAATAAATAGAGGCAAAGGCAGATGTACTTAGGGATGTGTGTGTGTGTGTGTATGTGGATACACACAAAACCGTAATTGAGTTTACTAGATTTTTTTTATTGACCCGGTGTGTGTGTTTATTTGTATTATTCAGAACTGAAGAATGGAAAAAAGTAAAGCATTCCAAATGTCTGAGAAGTAAGAACACACACTGAAGCTAAAACGTAGAAACATCTGGCTCTTCTTATATCTTCACAAGTTGCTATGCCACTAGAAAACCTAACTTTTTTTTTTTTTGGAGAAGGAACAGACTAAAAAAAGAAAACTCTGAATTACCTGGGCATAACACATTCTTTCAATAGCCATTCCTGAGGCAATATCAACCTGAAAAGGAAGAAATAAGATCTTTTTGCACACTTGAAGGAAAGCACTACCAAGCTACCAATTCAGAAGTTAATATATTAGTATACAGCATTAATGAATTATGATCAGCCACGTTGGACTTCCCTTACGTTTCATCAGTGACCAAGACAAGGTTCTCTCTATCAAGCAAAGCTTATTTTGGCACGTTAGCATTAACAGATGTATTGTAGAAGCAGCTATATTAGATACCCACATCTGATAAGGTTGGATTGGGCCAGAGATAAAGAACCTTGTGGGGATTTCACTATGAAAGTGGGCATGACCTATGCAACTGTTATACGCGCACATGCACACTATCCATGTCTCCTACAATAACTCTCCGGTTGCCCTTCCTGACCCACCAGTACATAAACTCAGGAAGAGGTTCTACAGTAATAGTAGTTGAAGCCTCATTGCTACGTGGAAATTGATGATTTGGAGGGGTATTATTCTTCTACCTCTCTATCCTGGTGCAGCATTACATTACCTTTTTGTCTCCCTGCTGAATACACTAATATTGAAAATGCTGCACCAGAATGAAGAAGCAAAGGCTGTCATCTGGACATTTCTTGTCCCTACTTCTGATTCAGACCATAAAACAGGTCTGTCGCTCATGTCAAACCTCCAGACCTGGGCTGCAAATATACAGAGGGCCACTAGGTGGCAGGAAAGAGATACAGACAACTCGACTCTTGCTACAGTATTAGTGGTCTGGATTTCTGCAGCTTAGATCTGGTAGCTCTAGTAAAATGCTGTGTGTCTTTTTAGAACATTGTTTCTATAACTTTCTGTGGAACCTTAAATATAAACTGAAGAAACCTTGTTGTAACAAATCATTACCTCAATCCCTTTGTTTATAGCCAATTTACCCAGTCTCACAGCTATTGGGGCCTTTGAAAGAAAAGAAACATGTTTGAATCAGCAGAAATATGTTTGTTTGCATGTACACATACATATATACATTACATTAATTCAATCCCACTCATAACTCTAGTCTGGACAAAGTGCCTCATGAAGGAACTCATAGTCAACCAGCAATATGATAGCAATATGTCATTTTTACCTTAAAGAAAGTAAACACGGGACTGCCTATGGTATATTGTATAAATTCCTAAATAAACAGAAGACACTTTGACTTTGCAGAGGATACACTATTCAGGGAGGCATCAGGAGTCTTGAGGGAGTCTTTTATACTTTTACTTTGCAAAAACAAAACCAAGACTCCCTCAAGACTCCTGATGCCAAAGAAAGCTGAAACGGAGGAAATCCCAGGGTTGTAGGCTAAATTGGAAAGTTTAGATTACTATCCTAGAAGAAGGCAATGGCAAACCGCTTTTGTATTGTCACTAACAAAAACCCACACGGATATGTCCATGAAGTCACTAGGAGCTGAACCCAACTTTGCCTTTATTTAAGCAGTCTAGACAAAATTCTAGCTTCAGCCATGCTTGCCTTGGAGTTGTGGGAAGAGAAGGAGGAAAAATAAACAAATGGACTATAAGGTCAACTTTTGGTGACAAATCAGGATCTGCTGACACAGAAAAGATAATCTGTATTAAAATGATAATGAAAGCAAATTATATTTAGCTTTACATACTACGTTTTCAAATAAATGCTGGTGTTCTAAAAATAAGATAACCCAAATGGCAACTATGTCAAGAAATATACTGCACAAATTAGGGAAGAATCCCTTTAGCACAGAGCAACTTTAAATTTACAGCCATTTGAGAGTTGTTCCAGTTATCTAAGTGAAATTGTCATACAAGAAATACTTATTCTTTACTTAGCTTATGCAATTCTTCTTCTACCATAAGGCAATGACCTCAGATGTTATGAACGTTCACAGGGAGAGACTAATAAAAAAATAGCTATATTCTTCTTGCATTTTGTGAGTTCTTTTAGTTCACCTAGTGTAAATCACTGAAACAGGAATAGTGATGTATATATTTCTGGTGCAGTAAAGCCATTAAATCTTTATTGTTCATTCAGGACTTATGGGTATCTAGTTAGAGTTTATCAATGGACATGGTGTCTTATAAAACAAAAAGAATTCTCTGTCACTAAGATCCTTAGCACCCAAATATAAATATTTGGGACAGGTTGAATTCAAAATTTCATTTGGCATAGTCTTTAGAAACATTCAGTATAGTAAAAAGTATTCTAATTATTTTTAAGCAGAAAAATATTGTTTCTTCAATGATATAGAGGAGGGTGAAGGATACACTAACCTGAGGAACAATTTCTTCAGCTAAAGTCAATGCCCTTTGGTATGCTGCATCCCCTTCCTCATTCTGTGGTACCGTGTGATTAAGTAGCCCCATGGAGAAGGCCTCTTGCCCATCAATCTGTCTGCCAGTGAAAATTAGCTCTTTGGCTAGGCCAATGCCAATACAGCGTGGTAAGCGCTGTGTTCCACCTGGACAGAAAAAAACAGCAAAATTCCTCAACCAGATTTAACGGAAAGCTGTTATATGCCATGGTTTCCATATTAAATTCCACAAAGAGTAATTCATATTGATAAAGTTCAAAGTGTTGATTAAAGTGCTTCTCTAAATTCCTCTAATGGCTCTTTGGAGATTTATTTAGGTTGAAATCCAGTTCTTACTAGCCTACTGATATCAAACTGGGCTACTGTCAGTCCTTGAAAGTTAGACTAGGTCAAGAAAGAGGGGCATCAGGAATTCCAGGAATGCTCTTTATTGTGGAAAGGTAGAATAATATAATCTTGAAAACCTGCCTAAGTTTCTCTCTGCCCCACGTGATACTAAACAAAATCAAGGCGGGGTTAGAACTGTGTCATCTTTTCTGAAAATCCTTCCTTAACAGTTCTTTCATACTTTCCAAAAGTCGTCTCTAAATTCCTTTACACCTGTATAAAATTATACTGGTACAGTGAAACTTCATTTTAACAGAATAATTCTTTAGCAAGGAAAAAGAGGGGAAAAACCTCTGTGCTGGAGGGAGGGGAGTGGCAGACCTACTCCTCTACTTGACAGCAGGAAACAACGTGTAATAGCAGCTTGATTCCTGGGAGATTTGAGGAATCTGGAAGTGGTCTTAGTTGAGAGTTCCTAGCATGGATGCAACCTCTTTGTGAGAAAGAGATCTTAAGAAAATATACTATATATCACATTCATTTATATCATATTGCTTATAAGAGAAGAAACGATTGGTGTTCCCATATTGGAAAAACAGATTATACAATAGGAACTTATACAATATAAGATCTGGGAACTTATATTAAAAGCTATTGCTTGTTTTAGCACATTACAGTACAATTGTATGACAAATGAAAAAGCAGCAAGAAAGTAGATAGTGCAACATTACCTGCACCAGGGAAAAGTCCTCTGGTAGTTTCAATTAAGCCCATTTTAGCCGATAATGCTGATTTGAAGAAAAGACATATATAAGAGCAAAGCGTTAAATAAGCATAAATGTGGTGCACATTTAACAAGTCTTAAAAATACTACAGTTTGGCTGGACCAAGTTCACAAGATAGGGGAATAATGCCAATGGTTAGCTTATGACTTTCAAATGCTACAGTTTGAATAAACAGAAAGTCCCAATTATGCTGATATACTCACCTGCTACTCGGAGATCACAAGCTAGTGCCAGTTCCAAGCCGCCACCCAAGGCATAACCATCAATTGCAGCAATAGTTGGCATTGGTAATGCAGCTGCAAACATTACAGAACAGGATCATGAAGTGCACTCTCAATAGAGTAATAAATAACATGGCAATGTAGACTTAGCACGGATTAGCCCTTTGGCTTTTCTGCTCTTTAATCTATAGAAACAGAGCAGTTTCTTTAAACATTCATCTGGATGTACTAGTCCTAACTAGGATCTGCGGCTAGAATTTTGCAGAGAATAGCTTCTTCATGGATTCTTAGCACTACTAGGTAATGATCCCCTTCAGGGATTGTGCCCTGATGGTAATGAAGTACAGTGCTTAAACATCTCAATGATGCTATGAGCTATATCATTGGGAGTGCATGCTCCCAGAAGGGTCTCCCAGGATGAGCAGCTTCACAGATGAGGAATCAGACTACTGTACGTATGATCCACTAGTGAAAGAAATGGCAACCCACACCAGTATTCTGCTAAGAAAACCAAATGAGCATTTGCAACCAGGACAATGTCAACATAATACCGAAAGATGTGTTCCCTAAGTTAGAAAGTATCCAAAGAGCTATTGTCCAGAGGGCCAGGACAAGTAGTACTGGCACTTGTGATAAAGCTGGATTAAAGGTGAAAGGGCATCCAGCTACCAAAGTGCTTCCCAGAGGCAAAGGTTCGTTGCTAAGCCATTGGTACTGTATATGGAATGTCAGAAATATAAAACAGAAAACCTTGACGTTATCAGAGTAGAAATGTCTAAACTGAATACTGACATTCTGGGACAAAAATGGATTGGAATGGGCCACTTCACATCACAGGAGCATCTGATCTTCTACTGCATATGAGAAAATCATACAAGAAATGGATGTCAAAGTCAGTGTTCAGTCACAATCCCCCAAATGATAGTAATCTGAAACACTTTGTCAACAGAAAGACATCATGCTAATTATAGGAAGTAAAATAGCATCTGGCATAATGAGGAACTTTGATCTTGGTATACAAAACTAAGGAGAACTCAGACTAATAAAATTCTGAAAGAAAATTCTACGTTTATAGCAAATACCTTATTCTAGCATCTAAAAGACAATTTTACACACGGACATCACTAGACAGACAACTTAGAAATAAAATTGACGATATACTCTGCAAGCAAAGATGGAAAAGCTCTGTTTATTCAGCAAAAACAAGACCTGGTTTGACTGTGGCTCAGATCACAAAATGACAAGTTAAACTAAAGAAAACAAAACTATCAGGTCAATAAGATATGACCTCAGCAATAGTTCATATAATTAAGTGGTGAAGGTAAATAATAAATTTAATGGGTTAAATCTGAGTCCCTGAAGAACTCTGGACCAACATTTATGACATTATTAAAGTTGAACCAACCAAAGTATCCCAAAACACAAAAAGCAAATAAAAGCAAAATGCTGATACTTCAAAAACAACAACAAGAAAGAGATGAAACAAAAGGCAACAGAGATACATTTGCCCAACTAAATGCTGAGTTCTAGAGAAGAAGAAACAAGGTGTTACATCTAAATAAGCAATCCAAGGAATTATAGATAACAAATGAATGGGAAAGAGGTTTAAGAAAAGTACAGAAATCGTGGGAATCTTTTTTGCAAAAATGGCATACTAAAAGAAAAAGCACAAGGATCTACTAGAGAAGGAAAATATAAAGAACAAATGGCATTAATATATAGAACTATAGAAAAGAGATTCCATGATTGATCATATGGACAAAGGTTTGGTCACTGAAGTACAGCTAGTGTTCTGGAAAGTACAGGTAGTCCTCAACTTATGACAGCAATTGGGACCGTAATTTCCATCGCTAAGCGATGCAGTTGTAAAGTGTGACTGCATCACTTAGTGACAGCAATCCCTACAGTCCAAGTTGCCATTGCTAACCAAGTCCAAGGGTGCGGGGGAGGCATGCTGAGGCTCGGGAAGGGTGCACGGGCAGGCAGGATGTGCAAGGGTACACGGGAGGTGCAGTGAGGCTCAGGGAAGGTGCGCGAGGGTGCATGTGGGTGTGCAAGGAGCAGGGACGTGCAGTGAGGCTTGGGGAGGGTGAGTGGGGGTGTGCAAGTGGCCAGCATGGCAGAAGCACAGAGGGGCTGGGGGAGGGAATGCGGGTGGGGGAGACTTACCCCAGCGACTTGCGACTTCCCTGCCAGCTTCCCTTTTGACTTTCTGGGGAAGCCAGCAGGGAAGGTTGCAAATGGCAATCACATGATCGCAAGGCGCTGCAGCCAGTCGTAAGTGCGAGCCATTTGCCAAGCACCCAGATTGTGATTGCATGACCGCAGGGGTGCTGGGGGACAGCTGGAACTCTGAGGACTGGTTGTAACCACCATTCATTCAGCGCAGTTGTAACTTGAACAGTTACTGAATGAATGGTCGTAGGTCAAAGACTCCCTGTACAGTATAGTTAAATGGGCCCTAGAAAATATTGCTAAAATCAAAATTGGAGTTGATGAAATGCCACTGAATCATTTAAAATCTTACAAGATGATGCAACTGAAGTGCTACATGGTTTGTAAACAAGTATGGAAAACACAGCAATGGTCAAGACAAGGAAAAGATCAATGTATATTCCAATACCAAAAAAGACAGTGCTAAAGAATGCTCAAACTACCAAACAATTGCAGAGATCTCACATCCTAGTAAGATAATGTTCAGGATATCTGGAATGAGAGGTGCCAGATGTACAAGTTGGATTCAGAAGAGGCGGGGCACCCAAGATCACATTGCTGACATCTGATGGATAATGGAAAAAGCAAGGGAGTTCCAAAAACATATATTTTTGCTTTATTGATGACACAAAGGCTTTTGACTGTGTAGTTGCTTTATATTAGAAGACTGATTCACTTGTACTTACCAATGTTGTCCATTAAACTTCTGAGCCTCTGAACAAAATGGTCAGCTTCAACATCACTCATCCGAGCACGCTCTTTTAAGTCAGCACCTATGTTTGCATCACCAAAGCACAATTTGGGGAATACAGGAAGGAAAATACTTGAAAGTAATGTTTCAAATGCAACAATATCTGCTCTGTGAACTACAGAAGAATCATATGATGGTAGAAGTAAGCACACCTAATTCTCCATAGAATCAAGCAGTTCACTGCTGATATATCCAAAATTGATTACAGTTGTCTGGTTTTAGGAATATTTATCAGTTTTAACAATCTTTCAATAAATTCCAATGGACTTATGTATCACAGAGTAGACTATCTGAATTTAAGACAAGGGGAAGAGTAGACAGAAAATCCTGAGCAATACCTAGCTTTGCAAACTTACAAACCTAGAGTTTCCAGCTCCATCTGAAATGAATCCTGGAAATATCCCCCTCCCCAGTAAATGGGTGTGTGTGACATAATGATATGTATGCATATAATGCCAGAAGCCACTCTCTCAGAACAAGCAAGGTGGGACAAAAGAATTAATTTATATAAATTGAACTACTAATAAAAATTAATTGTCCATAAAATAAAAGATAAAATAAATAAAATAATGAGAGCCAGTGGGAGATTGTGAGTTCTGGTCCCATCTTAGGTGCAAAGCCAGCTGGGTAACTTTAGGCCAGTCACTCTCTCTCAGCCCTAGGAAGCAGGCAATGGCAAACCACTTCTGAAAAACCTTGCCAGGAAAATGGCAGGGACTAGTCCAGCCAGTTGCCAGGAGTCAAAAGCTGACTTGAAGGCACACACAATAAAATAAAATAAAATAAAATAAGATGCCCCCTCACACACAAAGACACACCAGTTCATGTACACACACAAACTCCCTTCCTTTGTTCCAGCAAAAAAATATCAGGATGGAGATAGGGTGAGAAGAGAAAACTGGACAAAGAGTAAAAAAGAAAGAAAACCATTTTAGGCATTCACCATAGAATTAAATTCACCAGGTAAGCAGCAGCTCATTTTTCTTCAAACTTCAAAGTAATTCAGAAGTGATGTATTTCATCATTTGCACCTCTGCCCACTTGCTTGCTTTCAAAAGTATCTTCTCAGGGAATGTAGGACACCCACAATCGATTCACAGGTGAATTCTATTCTCAATATCAATTGCAGAAGTTAAATGAATGTTCTATAAGAGTGTATTTTACAAGGTTATTGCAGTTCTGGTGTGCTTCAGAACCAGCAATCAAATTCAAGATCTTCAAGAGTTTAAAGTCGGGATTTCAACATCTCTACCCTTCCCTGGTAATATAATCTCAGGAAAAGGAATGAAAGTGTATCTGATCTAAACAATTACGTTACTGCCCAAAAAAAGAAAAATAAAATAAAGAACCGATATTCCTTAAAATATATTACGAATATAGTAATTCGATTTATGATTCTTGATTTGAAATTAGCAATTTCTGAAATGGCAACAATATATAACAGAAACAAAATATACAGGAAATATATTTTATTAACCAACCAAGTGGAAAGGATAGGTCAGGTGATGTATTTTCTTCCACTCATTCTCATTTTTCTGGCTTTTCCAAATCAGAAAGCAGCTTTACTTACCAGCACAAAAAACACCTTTTACTTTGCTTTTGATTATTACAGCACGGACACTTTCATCAAAACAGAGAACATCAAGGGTTTCATATAACTAATGAGAGAAGAGAATAAATCCAAAGTTCAATTCAATGAAAACTTTCCTTGAGCCCATGGCTGTGCGTTTATGTGATCATGCTTTAGCTAATTATGTATAAACTGGTGAGTACATAATCTATTTTTGGTGTGTGGCTTCTACTCCAAAATCTATACTATGATCTAGGAAACTATCATGTCACTGACAATTATAATGATCTTGGACACCCATACACTTTCAAATAATACCTATATAATGGAAAATTAACTAAATATCTTCACTTACTTCATCCACAAACACTTTCCCCAGGGAGTTTCTGGCATGTGGTCTGTTCATCTGAATTTCTGCAATACCTTTATTCCCAAAAAGAATAAATAACATACTTTTTAAAAGAGGTTTTATGTTTTAATTATTTCTTACTTAATCAAAAAATGTTTAGACCAACATTCAGCTCAAGCTTTCAAGTCAGCTCATAATAAAATATTAGAAAATTCAAATACTATGCTTCAGGGTTTGGTTTTTTTTTTAAAAGCACAATCATTTCAAAGAAGCCTAAAAAACAAATCCAGAAATAAAAGCAGCAGCGAAACGAAATCTTGTGGGCTCAGTAACTAATTAAGGTCAGTGTTGGAGACCACCAGGGCATTCTGGAGCTGTACAATGGACACGGGAGTGATTTCCAGGGAGAATGTAAAACACTTCTACATTGCAAATGTCTAAGAAGTTATGAAAGCAAAGCTGCCTCTTTACCTTTTTAATACATCCCTTTTCACCATTTTGTTCTGAAACAGGATGAGCTGAGTGGAAGGGGGAACTGTGTATTACTGACTTTTGTGGATTCTGCTCTTCCTCAATTAAGCATGGATATTTTATAGCTTTTTTTGTATGTGTGTGTTTTTGAGTCAGTTTTTACTCCTGGCAACGGCCCCTGCAAGTCCCTGCAGTTTTTTAGGCAACATTTTTGGAAGTGGTTTGCCATTGCCTGCTTCGTAGGGCTGAGACAGAGTGACTGGCCCAAGGCTGGCTTTGTGCCTAAGGCAGGACTAGAACTCAGAGTCTCCCATTTTCTAGCCTGGTGCTTTAACACTACACCAAACTGGCTCTCCTTATAGCTATACTGCTTTATAACTATACAGACATTTTTAAATTGCATTCGCTACAATTAACCGTATGGCAAGCCTCTGTGCAGTGGGGCATTAGTTTCCTTAAAGGAATCAGACATTCTCATGTGGCCAGGATCAGTCCAAGGATAGGGCAACCTCGTTTAGCTTAGCTTCTCTCCCGGGCCCACACAGTTTCACACATTCTAAGGCAGTGTTTTTCAAACTCGGCAACTTCAAGATGCGTAGACTTCAACTCCCAGGGGAATTCTGGGAGTTGAAGTCCACACACCTTAAAGTTGCCAAGTTTGAAAAACACTGTTCTAAGGGGCGGGTCATGGAACCACCTAATGGACACAGCTCCGGCCTCCTCTAAATTATCCGGTGACGATTGGCGCCTTCCCTGCATAGCTAATAAGGGGGAGCGTCCCTGAGGTCTTCTACGATTGGCCGACGGCCTACAGCGTCCTGGATCGCCAAGAGAGGACCGAGCGGGCTTTGGCCGCGTTCAGCTCCGTACCTGTCTTCCTGTCGCTCAGCTGTGGCAATGGGGAAGTTCCTTCTTTCGGCCCAGCGGGCAGGCGGAACAATGGCCGGCCTCTTCCAAGGGGCAGGCGTACAGTCACTTTTACTGCACGGTTTCTGTGGACTTGACAAGCCTTCGGGAGGGGCCCGGCGCCACTTACCGCAGTCTGCTTCTCTGTGCACGTGTAACAGGATCTCTTTTTTCTTCTCTCCGGACGCGGGTCTTCTCGGAAAGCTGCCTGCCGTCCCCAAGAGGCTCTCCGTAGAAAGTAATCGCAGCGCAGCGGTTGCTTGGCCCAGGCGGAGCATTTTAGGACGTGGCAGTGGCTTTCTTGCTTCCCGTAGCAGCTGGGCTGAATTAAACCAACAATCCAGGCTAAGCGAGGCTCCGTATTGTAATTAACGAAGCAAGGCTGGAGGGCGGGCGAGCCCCAGCGTAGTGTTGCGGTTCAGTTAAAATAAGTCTTGTATCTTGATGCCAGCTGAAACAGGGATCCTCTACTTTTTGAGTAGCCAAAGTACAGCCCAGCTTTAGGAAAAGGTAGTGGCGCCCCCTTTTGACCACGAAATCTCTTTTATTTAAAAAATAGAATAAAAGGTCCCTTGGAGTTGAAGGCGGCTGCCACTGATTTTACGGGCACGTCCATATACATTTCTTGGTGACAATGCAGAAATAGCTGGCTGGGGAGTTCTAGGAGTGGAAGTCCACTTTAAAGTTGCCCAGTTTGAGAAACACGGGTGTAAAGCAATGTTGGCCTTGAGATTCATTGGCAGGATAAGCTTTTTTAAACGCTTAAAAGCCGAGACATCATCATTTTAAAAACCCGATGAATAGTATAGTACATTTAAATACCTGCCTTTTTCTCCTTTTCTTTTTGGCGTTCTAGGTCGGATTTCTCATCCACTGCTTTTTTGTTCATTGTGGCAATTACCGTTTTTCACCAAGGAAAAATGGGGAAAAAAACCAGATCCTTCTCTAGATTATATGTCCATCATTGAGGAGACAGTTCAGCTCTAAAACAATGAAAATGAGAAGCAGTGATTAAAAACAATATGGACGTGTCTTTATTTTTTATTTTTGTTTTTATTTATGTTTGATGTTTCTTGAATTGTTATATAGTTTTAATTGTGACTATGCTTGTAAGGCACTCAGTCACTTTTTGGGAGATGGGCGGCTGTATCAGTTTCCTGAATAAAAACCAAAAGCGAATGCACGTTTTGCTTTAACCTCTGCTCTTTGCAGGGTAGATACTAGCTCTTATTTTAATGAAATCGGGGGCTCTGAGGCATTCCAGATTACTCGGGGATAGGCACGCTCCGCCTATATTTCCGACTCATGAATTTAGGCTGATTTGCGGAGGACTAAGGACTGACGCTACCGCTTTAAGAGGGCGGCCCAGGGAATGAGACCCGGCACCGCCCCTTCTTTCGACCTTGGAGTGTTGTCAAAAGCTCGCGCGGGAGGAAAACCGGGGCAGACTGTGCGTTTCATTCCCGTATTTGTGGTGCTACGGCCGCGCAGTCCAGGGCGCCAGCAGCAGCAACATGGCCCCGATCCGCGTAGGGAAAAGGGTTTTTGTTGTCGGAGTGGGCATGACCAAGGTAACTGGACTGGGCCGGGATACTTTGGAGTGTGTTGTGGGTTCCACGGTGGGACTACAATTGCCATCATCCGCGGCCACGTCTGGAAAGCAGAGCAAGCCGCTTCAAAGGATTGGTGCAATTGGCGTGGGAAAATGGGAAAGAGGGCGCTACCACTCTCCCTTTCTCAGCGGGTTTTACCCATTGGTCACTCGGTCAGCCCAACATTTCCCCAAGAGACGCGGTCCAGCCTCCCCACCCCTCGGCTTCGCAGTACGTGTGTGCGCACGCGCGCGCCTGGACTAGTCCCCGTAGTTTTCTTGGCAAGATTCGGAAGTGGCTTGCCATTGCCTTCTTCCTAGGGCTGAGAGAGGGGGATTGGCGTAAAATCACCCAGTTGGCTTCTTGCCTAAGGCGGGATTAGCACTCACAGTCTCTCAGTTTCTAGCCTGGTACCTTAACCATTACCCCAGACTGGCTCCGTCTTTACACAAAAGTAAATCCCTCTCACTTCATTGTGGCTTCTTTTCTGATAATTGTTTACGGTTTTATTCTTAGACAACAGCTCTGTGAGGTAGATTAAAATGAGAGGGCGGTGGCTGCTCCAAGCACCCAGCGATCGAGTTTACTGTACCTGTTCTGGCATGGGGGTGGGGCAGTTTCTGGAGTTTTATTTAGCATCTTTTGGGCAGATGTCTGTGCCCTGTTGGATTTTTTTAAATAACTTGAATATAACTGGATCCCCCTGCAAGATCACTTCGGGACTGGGAAGCTGCACTTCTGTGGAGGTCCCAAGCTATTATAAAAGCTATTATAAAAGTTTATGATTTTGTTCCCTTGAAGAGTCCTTCACATCATGTTGTTTAATCATTTCCGACAAGAGCTCTGCAAGTAAAGTCTAGCTTGTTCCTGTAGTACAGAGGGAGACTGAAGTTAGTCAAATAGACATGTTGCTGTGCGTTTTGATGCTATCTCTTCTGCTGCACTCAGGGCTCTCCATGTTAATATTTAATGTATTGCATAACCTGGGGAAGCTGTGATCTTTAAGGGCTGTTCAGCAGTGCAAGATTAGCCTTCTCCGACCTGATGCCCACTAGTTTCAGTTTCTTAATCCATGTTGCCTAGGAGTTATGGACTGATCCATATTAACAAGACCTTTGTAGTCTGTGTTCAAGATAGCTGGAGAGAGAGAGAGAGAGAGTGTCAGTTTGGTGTAGTGTAGAGTGACCATACATCCTTTATTATAAAGGACAGTCCTTTATTTCAGAAAGCTGTCCTTTGGATGTGTTTAATTATTTTCTTGTTTTGCTCTTGAATTTTCCTCTGTAAAGAAAGTTATAAAAATAAACAATTAAATTTGTTTATCCTTATGAACCTCTTTCAGATTTGGTCCTTTTTCAGGTTGGTCCATTATTTTTTCCAAGAAAATATGGTCAGTGTAGTGTAGTGGTTAAGGTGCTGGCCTAGAAACCAGGAGACTGTAAATTGTAGGCCTCCCTTAGGCATGAAAGCCAGTTGGGTGACTGTGGGCTAGTCGCTCTCTCTCAGCCCAACCTGTTTCACAGGGTGGTGGTTGTGGGAAAAATAGGAGGAGGAAGGGATATTAGGTATGTTCGCCACCTTGAGTTATATATAAAAAAGGCAGGATAAAAATCTAATGATAAATGAGATCTGAAGGCCTTTTTCAATCACAAGCATCTCTTCAACATTTGCTTTCTTTCTAACAGTTTGAAAAGCCTGGCCACCGTGAAAATTTTGATTATCCAGACATGGTAAAGGAAGCAGGTAACATACTGGCTATTATATTTAAAATCTTGGGCACAGTGGGGGCACTTTAGTGTAAGGCTACATTAACAGAATCTTGCAAGTCTGAAAGTACAATTCTCCCCGTCTCCTTTACACCCCAGGAAATTAGGGAGGGTCTCCTCTGAGCCTCTTGCCCCACCCACTATCTGCGCACTATGCTGTCTCTTATCTGGCGGTTCCCTAGACAGCGTTTCTGGGATGAAAAACAGGTGGTGGTGGTGTGCTAAGCTTAAATGCTTGCCTTTTAAAGACAGAGGATTAATCACCTTTTGCCGCTCTGTGATATGTCCATGTAACAGTCCCAACATTTGAACAGAGCAAGCTTCTGTTAATATAAATGTTATACAGATATAAAAAAGATGATGTTGAGCTTGATTGTTAGTGACTGCATTCATGTACTTTTCTTCTACAATGGAAGTGATTTGCTAGTGCCTACTTCCATGATGTTTTTCTAACTTTCTAGTCTAGTCAACAGTCCTAAAATTCCCAAATGATTTTCCATCCAAGGATTAACTGACTCCCTCTAAGCAAGATCAGTGGAGATCAGCTAGATTGCTACCACTCACCAAAGCACCATCCTAAAGATACAGCTGTTTCAGTAATTGGTAGCAGTTTTTATGATCGCAGCATGGAAACATTGCTCCTGCATGATGGGTACTCTATCCAGATATACCAAAAGTTATGGTGACACCAGATACCTTGTTTGACCTGACCCAAAATTTTGAAACTAGCAGTTTATTTAATCTGCCAAAGAGTGGGAAAGTGTGTTTGCACATTCTTAACTTTTGAAATCTGGCCTCCTATACACAGCTCAACTATCTATTCAGGATATATAGTAAGTTTCCAATCAAGATGTTTTTTAATCTTATTCAGGTCAAAAGGCTCTTGCTGATGCAGGCATTCCATACTCATCTGTAGAGCAAGCATGTGTGGGCTATGTATATGGTAAGTGAAGGTCTTAGTAAAGCCCAAGTTTCACCCTGGTTCTTCTTTACCCATTTATTGATTGATTGATGTATTTATTTATTTAATATGCCGCCCATCTCCCCCAGAGCTTTTAAGCTTCTGTCCTTCACCTTGAAGCAAAATTTATGATGTATTTATAAATATTCTAACAAATTCAAGTGTAAGAGGCAAAGCAACATTTGAACTACTGTGAGACTCGCAGCACAAGGAGAAATGTTTGTGTCTTTCACCAAGTTGCAGATCAAGCTCTCTATAGTGCTAGAATTGTTGACAACCTTTCCATCTTTATGTTTGATTGCAAAATAGATAATGAAAGAGAAGCCATTTTTATTGCAGTGTTTTTTGCAGGCAAGTTGATTTAACCCTGCAGGCTTGAATTTTACTGTTGCATGATTAAAAATTTACTGAAGAAAATATACTTGAAAAACTGATACATTCAGTGTCACTGATACATTCAGTGTCACAGATAAATTGTGACATTGAATGTATCAGTTTTTATCTACCTATAACAGAGTCTGAATGTTTCTCTACAGTTTTGGATAAGGACCTTCTTGGTTTTTTTTTTTTTTTTATTTATTTATTTATTTATTTATTTATTT